GACACTGGTCCTCGCACTTGGCTAGCTGCCTTGAAAGCCCAGGGCTGGTCGGACCAGTTGCTCAGAGAACGAATTCCCGGGAGGTTAGCCGGAACCGCTTTTGAGTGGTACGGACAAAACCCGTTCACTAATTGGGCAGCCTTCCAGAGGAAATTTCTCGATAGATTTGATCACATCGCACCAGGTCAATGCCTTTGTCTAATAAAGGAATACACACAGCAGCCTCGGGAGACCTTGGCTAGATATGCTGAACGTTTTACGTACCTAGCCGAATGCTCCGGGTTGGATGAGAAAATGGTACGGACTGATTTCGTCAGAGGACTGTCAGATTCTCATCTGCGGAAAAAGATCCGCAAGAAATGCAACCCTATAGAACATACCCTGATGGAGCTAATTCAGTACGCAATTAAGTACGGGAAAGAAAATTACGATGTGGGCCTGGACTCAGAATCCGACGAAGATGACCCTTCGGGTGTTCGACGCAATAGCTACTCCGCTACGGCACGAATGTTCGACGATCGCTTCGGGTTGGGTCCGACAAAAAAAGGCTCGGATCGGAAAGCTTCTTCCTCTGCTTCGGCCTCCCGTCGCTCTAGTTAAACGCAAGGAGGCTGGGGCGAGGAAGAAGTATCCATGAAAGAAGTCGCGGCCCAACTAGTTACGGTAGTAGCCCCGTTGACGGAGTTTGTTCAAGGTCTACAACGGCAACGCATAGCCGCCGCACAACGGCAACAGGCGGCTATGGCTGCCGGAGCCCCTATGATAAGACCGGCCGTGGTCGGGGCTGTCCCACCCCTACGCTGTTATAACTGTAATCAACCAGGCCACCTTGCGAAAGATTGTCTGAAACCCCGAACTCAGGGCGGACCCACCGGACCTTCCCAAATCCGGCAAGCTGCTCCCACCGCTGCAGGACAGGGGAGGGTAGCCACGGTAATGGACACAGGAACGACGGAGATGGTGACCCTGACGGCCACTGAGATAGGACCCGATGAGTATATGGCGGCAGCGATGTTCGAACCCGGGACCATCGGAGTGATACGTCACGTCCAACGGATTACCGAGGAAAGCGACCTCGCGCCGTGGCGACCAGGATTCGAGGACCTTGCGGTACCTGGTCCTGAATACAAGGATGGCCATATCGATGTATTGGATGCCTTGAAGGCTCTGGATCTTCGGATCCCCGTCCCTATTCCATATCTGCTAACCATTTCTGAAGCGGCTAACGAAAAGTTGATCGAACGGTGCCTCAAAAACAGGCGCCGATTCGAGGAAAGTCGAAAGGCCAAAGAGCCGGTCCTACGGGACCCACCCACTAACGAGGAGTCACAGCCCTCGACCTCAGAGGTGCACGAAGCCAACCGGATAGGGATGATCAAGACCGTAGATTCCGCCTCGGAAAAACCCGAGGTATTCCTCCGGGCCTATCCTATAACCTGGAAAAGCGTAGAGTGTGACTATGAGGTCTGGGGAAACCCCTCGGCCGCCATCCTAGACTCGGGATCATCGGCGGTCACCATTTCTTGGAGATTGACGAAACAATTGGGAAGGGAAGGACAGGTTTAGCCCCTCCGACCGGATGAACTGTACATATCCGCTACTGGAGATAGTATTCATTGTAAAGGGCGAATAACGAACGTGCCTATACGGGTGGGGTGGGTGCATTGTTTGTGTGACGTGATCGTGCTGGATGTACAGGCGTATGATGTTCTGCTAGGCATTCCGTGGCAGGCGGCGGTAGGAGCGCGAATGCACTTTGACAGCTGTAAGGTGGTGCTCACATCGGCCCACCCCAAACCCCAAACGATACCAATGAGACTGGCGGTGCGCATGCGCACCCAGCCGGCGCCTCG